CATTTTGGGGCACGGTGGAAGACAGGGTGTCATTGTCTGTGGTCTCCCTTCTTGGATGGAGTGGGGGGGCTTGTTTCTTGAGAGTATGAGGATCCTCGGATCAGCAGCAACAGTCCAGCCCTTCCTGCCCTGCTGCATCGACTTGATGGGGTTTTGGAGGTTAATGTGCCCAGCGGCTTGATCTGGGTCATGTTGGGGAAACGGGGAGGGGGCATGTGCCTTGCACATAAGGACGGGTCTGCTCAGTTTGCTGTCAGGGAGGAAAATCCTGCTCGATCATGGGCCATCAGCAGACGCAGCTGAAAAAATAAAAATGTGTGCACCAGGCAGCGGGGGAACCGTGAAGTGCAGCTTTCTCCGAGGGTTGGGAGGACGTTTATGGTTGGGAACCCAGTGACCAAAGAGGGAGACTGCCCCAAGATGAGGAAAGCCGGGGGAGGAGGTCATCTGGAGGCGGGGCTTCGCCAGGCCCAGGCAGTGAATCGAGCAGTTGAACCGTCCAGCTCTGCGTGGGCCTTGGAAGCCCTGAACAAGAATCTTATTGATGATTTGTCAGACCCTGAGCAGACAACCCTGAACTTTAACAGAGCCAGGATGGAAAGCCTGCACAAGGGCCTACAGTTTCCAGAATGAACAACAGGCTTATTTTCCCCTCCCTCCACTGGAGGACCGGGAAGAGACGAAATGAAAAGCGTGGGGGACGGTGGGGGAGCAGGAGATGCGACGAGCACGTTCCGGAGCCTCAATGGAACAGCCACATTCCTCCGAGGGGTGGCCCACTCCCCTGAGCCCTGAGGGTTGAAAAATGTCACTGGGGCTGGCGCAAATTGGAGCCTTGCCCCTGTTGTTATTTCCAAGAGTCTGTAGCTGAACCCCGATGGGACACGTCTGTGCAGGGAGATCACTGACAGCCTATGACATACGGGCACCCTGTTAGATGCTGAAATCGACCAAGACTGACCTTGACCAGAAAGAACTGTTATCTAGACTTGATAAGCCCTGAGATGACTGGGAGAAGTTGGCTTTGACAGAACAAAAATCTAGGGAGGCAGAGCTGGCCAGGGACCTGAGGGCTGCTGGTCATGGGCAGCTGCAGAGAGGGACCCCGAGTAGACCTTGAAGAACCATGTGGATCCAAAGAGAAAGGGAAATGACTCCTCTGGTTCCTAGATTCTCTCTCTGGTCACTTCTCCAGGGTCTCTTTAATCTGGGTGCTTACCTTTAATCTATAACAACTATCCTAGAAGAAAAGGAAAGTATGGGCACCATCCTGACATAGAGCACCCTGGTACTATTTTCCCCACCCATCTGCCTTGCCCGTCAGTTCCCTCACGGCAGCAACCATGGCTGCGAGGTTCACCGTAGCATCCCCAGGCCTGTGCATCTGATGGCTTTCTATATCTCTCAGCCACCTGGGTATCTTCCCTTGTAGTCCCTACATCTCACTGAATGATCACCACGTCCTGTTGGCTGTACCTGTCGCATATTTCCTCCAAACCCTCCTCTCTCTGTCTCCCCCACCCAACCCTGGCCTTGGGGTGTATGGTGGACCAGGAAGCAGGGGCCATGACTCAGGCAGTCCTCTCCAGGTCCCTGGGAATGACTAAAGCCAGCACACTGCAGAGAGCAAGTCCTTTGAACTTGGACATACTTGGGTTTGAACCCCGGAGCTGCTATTCTCTGGGGATGTGACCAAGTTAGGTTGTAAGTCAGCCTTAGTAGCTCATACCACAGCTGTGCTCCTGCAGGGTGGTTGTGAGACCAGGAGACAGTGGGGGTACAGCTGATGGCATGGTGCCCAGCTGCCCTGATGAGGTCATAGCCTCATTATTTTCATCTGCACCAATGCGGTCATCTAGTTGGCCTCCCTGCCTCCCCTTCCAGCTGTCTTTCCCCAGTGTCTTCAGGGTTTTTCCATCTCCAGCCTGCACTGCCCACGGCATTGTCCCAGGTCCTGCAGGATTCTGCTGTGACTCCTAAGGAATTCAGATAAAGCTGTCACCTTCTGCTCCACTACCCAATCCACCCTTCTGGCCTCAGAGCCCACCTTCTCCCCGTTCAGTCCAGCCCCACCTGCCCTCATGCTTCCCGGCCCTTGATGGCAGAGCACTGCCACTTCCTGGTGAGTTCCCAGGTGTGCCTCAATGACCAACTTAGAAATTCCTCTCTCCGAGAACTTCAGAGTTTGCCTGTCTTTCCCCGGTGCATTCCTGGTCTTGCAGACACTCGTGAATTAATCTTATTCTCACCCTGTGTGTCCACAGGATGCCCTGTCCACAGATATGAGGCCCCCGGAAAGGTCGAGGATCTCTCTGGGTCACTTTTGTCTCTTAAGAGCCAGGCACATATTTCCTATCCTTTTGCTCACATGAAATGTAAACAAAGGCTGTTTTCCAGGAATCAGGCAGCTTTGGGGAAAAGCTGAGGATGTGGAAGTGATAGGAGGCTTTTGCTTTTCATGCTTTTCCCTCCACTCAGTCAGTCCCAAGTAGCCACAGAGGCAGAGCCCAGAGAAGTTCACCGGGTCAGAGAACCGTGCTGGAGACCCCACTGTCTTGCAGGGCCCTTTTGCTCTTCCTGGTCTGCGGGAGCGCAGTCCACAGCTCCAAGTCGTGTTCCTCATATTCTTTCTTTGTTTTCCTTTTTAACATCTTTAAACTCACTGCTAAAGCCTGTGGAGATCCTGCAGCCCACAGGAAACCCATGAATAGCTATTAAAAACAAAGCAAGACCCGACCTAAGGCCTCTCCATTTTATTATTTTTTAAAAAAATCTTCTCTGGGGCCAGCTTAGGGGGACCCTGAATAAACTCTTGTTGACTTAATAGCAGTAGAGATTTGTTCACAGAAGTCAGACTTATGAAGCTGGGTGAGGGATCCTCCTGACTTTATTTCAGGAAAGAATGCTAACTTTGCCGTCATCTCTCTCCCTCTGTTCCCTTGTTTAATTCCGCTCTTCAGCTCTGTGCCACCTCTAGGACTCTCCGCTTTGGCTCAGTTGTCCAGACACAGCAGCACCATCAGCTTGGACCAGGGCAGGGCGACTGGCAGTGTGGCTCCTGGTCCTTGGGGAGCCGATGTGGTGATAGCAGGGCCTGGGGCTGAGGCGGGGGCTCCAGCTGAGACGCCCTGCTGGCTCAGATGGTGGAAACCCTTTCCCATGAAGATGACAGGAGCTGGGTACCTCCTCTTGCAATACCCATGGTGCCCAGTCTTCCCTGATACGTCTCTTTCTTCTTATGAAGGCCTGTGGCTCATCCTCTTTGGTCAAGCATTTGACTTCTGCCGTGTTCTCTCATGTGCCCTATGCTGCCTGCCTCCTTCCCTCTGGCTATTTATAAATCTGCTCCTTGTGGTTACAGGTCTGACCAGCAGTGTCAGGAAGACAGGGCAGGGGGTGAACAAAGTAGTGTGGACTTGCCTCAGTGGGCCTTTTTTCTCTCCAACATTGATTGGCTCCCAGAGTGAGACTGCTACAGGACTGTTCAGATGGAGAAGGAGCACCTGGTCTGGTTTGAAGCAGGGCCTGTGATGAAAGCAGGGCCACCAGAGGTTCCAGATGGTGACAAGGTGCTGGGGGCCTACTTTTTAGAATAGCTGGTCCATGTGGGAAGTTTAGGGGTTGGTTTCATTTAGGCCAATTAAGGGGAATGATTATTTGGGTTCTCAGTGTTGTTCCTGTCGTGTGAAACTAGAAGTGTAAGCTGAGATCTTTTTCAAACCACCTTTCCTTTCTAATGTTCTATCCCTAATGCAAGGTCCTGGATTTTCAGGGGACTTCCTTTCAGTTCTAATCCATCCAGGCCAGAAATTTATTTTTCTTGTACACTGCCATGGAGTGACTTTGGTACACAATAAGTGAATGGGTTGGCTTTGCTTTCATTCATTCAGTCTGTCAGTAAATATTTATTGGACGTTATGCCAGACCTTGGAAATGTGAACTAGACACAGAGCTTGTCCTTGGAGCTTATAGTTAAATAGTGACATAGGAAGTTACACGATAGCACCGTCAGAGCTGGGAGAGGGTATGTGTCTCTTGTCGCTGCTGTAACAAACAAGCTTAGTGTCTCAAAGCAACATAAGATAATTAACTTTTAGTACTAAAGAAGAGATTTAAGCACCCACTGGCTCTGTTCCTTCTAGGGCCTTCCAGAGGGGCCAGTATCAAAGGGATCATCTGCCAAAGCAGCCCTCCTTGTTTCAGAGGCCCAGAGAAGGTATCCCAGGAGGAATGGTATCTAGACCAAGACCAGAGGGACGAGTAGGATCTGCCAGAGGAGGAGACCATGGCATGGGTTGCCAGAGGAGCACAGTGGCTGGGCTGCAAAGTAAGGTGATGAACGTGAGGCTGACACTGTAGAGTCTGGAGAAGGCCAGAAGGGCATCAGGGGAACAGAAGCAGCTTTTAATGGTGGGTATCTGTGATCCCATTTGTGCTTTAGAAAGCCATGTAGCCAAACCAAGATCAGGCTTGGAGCCATAGGATTTCAGAGCTGGAAGGAACTTTATGAAGTATTTATTAAAGGACCTGAGAGGCTTCAATGATAGTTTCAAAGTCTCCTAGAGAGAACCAAGATGAAAATGACCCTGATTATAACCACACCTGTGAGAGCAGAGCGCATGGCTGGCAGAACATCTGGAGGCCGTGTCTTGTTTTCCCACAGAACCTCGTGAGGGCTGATGTTTACAATGGAAGGTTTGTACTCGGGGTGTTGGGCCAACCTGGCCACTGTTGCTCCTCCAGAAAGTGGTAGACCTGTGACTTGGGCTGAGGTTATCCATCTCCAAGTCAAGGGCCCGTTTCTCTCCCACTGTGACCCTAGAACTGAGAATGCCACCTCCTGGCTGGGCACCCTGAGTGCTACCAGGCCTCACATCCAACCCTTCCTCCTGGGACCCAGAGGGATGGTGGGCGGATGCTGCGGGATCCGGAAGTGTATCCGAGCTGGGCCTTGCGGGAGAAGGAGCCACTGAAAGATCTCTCCTGTTTTTGGTCTGTAGCCCTGGAGCAGCTCCTGGCAGAGCTGGACCTCTTCCTCAAGATTCTGGACCAGGAGAACCTGAGCAGCACCGCCGTGGTGAAGAAGAGCGGCCTGGCAGAGCTCCTCCGGCTTTACACCAAGAGCAGCAGTAAGTGGGGGCCCAGGGCAAGGAGAGGCCCCACGGAGATGGAAAGAGGGCTTGCTTGGCATCTCAGGCTGCCATCGCCAGATGCCAAAGACAGGTGGCTTAACGGCAGACATTTATTCTCACACTTCTGGAGGCCAAAAATCTGGGATCAAGGAGTCGGCAGGGCAGGCCCCTTCTGATTCCTGTCTCCTTGGCTTGCCAGTGAGCATCTTCTCTCCCAGTGCCCCTGCAAGGTCCTCCCTCCGCATGGGTCTGTCCTAATCTCCTCCTCTTATAGGGACATCAGTCATATTGAATTAGGGCCCAACCTTGTGACTTCATTCTAAGTTACCCCTTTATAGACCTGTGTTCAAATATAACCATAGTCTGAGGTCTTGAGGGCTAGGATTTAACCTATGGTTTAGTGTACAGGGGCACGATTCAGCCATAACAATGGCTGCAGGGGTGACGTGACTTAAGTGGGAGCCCCTGAAATATCTGAGCACTCAGCCTGAGTGAAGTTTTAAACAAAATATTTTTAAAAAATTTTTTAGTTGTCGTTGGACACAATACCTTTGTCTGTTTATTTATTTATTTTCATGTGGTGCTGAGGATCGAACCCAGAGCCTTGCACGTGCTAGGCAAGCGCTCTACCGCTGAGCCACAACCTCAGCCCCTCAACAAAGTATTTTCAAAACTCTCTTCCTTACCGATTAAAAGTAGAGGAGCCTGGGAACTGCGGGGTGGCCTGGGGAACAGTGACGGTAAGGCAGGGCTCCAGGAGAGCACCCCTGAGCAGAGCTCCCCCAAGAGGGAAGCGGATATATAACACCCACGACTGAACTGAGTGAGTCCCCTGCACACATATGAACTTGTTTCATTTTTAAGACGCCCCTCTGGGGTTGGTCTTGCTATTACAGAGAGGGAAACGGAGGCCCAAAGAGTTTAAATCATTTTTCCAGTATTATACAATCTAAAGGGAAAAGAGGACAATGTCCTTAAGACTTTGTAACTCAAAGAATCTTAAATTTATCTTTTCCCATCTTCTTTATTGTGGTAGTTTACATATAATAAAGTGTGCTGATCTTAAGTACGCAAGCCCACAAATTTTGATAATGATCTGGACCTGTGTAACCACCACACAAAGCAAGACATAGAATATCTCTGTTATCCAGAAGGTTCTATCTTGTCTCATCTCAGTTAATTCTCTTTCCACCCCCACCCAAGGGAACCCTTGCTCTAATTTCTCTCGACATAGAAGGGCATCCTGGAGCTTTGTACAAATGGGATCCTATGTGAGTCCCCGTCTGGCTTCGTCTGTGCTGTTAGGCATGCCACTTATATGTTCTTTTATTGTTGCAGACTGTTTCATTCTGGGAACACACCACAATCTGCTTGATGGACATTTGAATTGCTCTCAGATTTCTGCTTTAAGGCTACTATGAAGGTTCTTTTCCAGTCTTCTTGGGGGACATATGGTTTCATTTCTAGCAAACTAGGATTTTTGTTTTTTTAAAAGAAAAACCTTGTGAAGCCATAAGAGTTGAGTTGAATTGATGTCAGGTGTTGGACAATGGGAAGTGCTATTTGGGGACAGTAAGGGCATCTTCTCCATCTGCCTCTTGGTAGGAGCAGCTCAAGTCTGTGCCAGGGGAGGGAAGTCTCCACCTGCTCCAGGCCGGAAATGCTCCCTGCAGCCAACCTGAATCTGCCAGGCAGCACTCAAAGGCTCCTTCGCCCTTCTTTGTTCCCAGGGATATGTGTTTCTGTTCTTTGAGTGACAGAGACAGGTAGGGCTGGTGCTTGTTGCTGGGTGCCCATCCGCTTCCCTCTTGGGGGAGCTCTGCTCAGGGGTGCTCTCCTGGAGCCCTGCCTTACCGTCACTGTTCCCCAGGCCACCCCGCAGTTCCCAGGCTCCTCCTGGCTTTGTAGCCTGCACATCAAAGGCGCGCTCCGTGAGAACGGCAGAGGGGAAATCTCAGAACAAAGCAGGAAAGCCAGTGAGGGCTGATTCACTCTGCAGCAGGATTCATCTGTGGAATCCTTTAAAGCACACTCCCCAGACCTTTCAAGATGTGCTCCGACTTGAGAACATCAATTAGAAAGACCGCCTCTGCCAGGAGTCGGAACACACCTCTTTATTGTGGATCTGCCGCATAGTTCTTGGTGTGAACGCACTGGCAGTGCTTCCTGTATTGGGTCTCTTTTTGGTTTAACATGCTGCACAGCTTCTGCAGGGGACCTTTGTTCTGCTCTGATTTACCCTTATAAACTCAGTCCTTCCCCACCCTGCCAGGGCAGGCAGCTTGTGACGGTGGAAGGCTGCTGAGAACTGGTGGTGGTGGTGGTGGGGCTCCCCAGTGCGTATCATCTGGAGTGACCCCAGATTGCTGATAAATGTGCCCGGCCATTCTGAGAGCTCTGCCATGGCTTATATTCTCAGAGGTGCTGCCCACTTGCTGATCGTCGCTGTCCGACAGAGAACTTCTCTTCTGGTCCTATTTATATCCCTTCAACTGCAGACAAGGTAGATCAGCAGATGATATTGACTATGCATTTACTGTGTCCTGGCCCAGCACTTAATGCCCTTAGTGATATAAACAATGTCATTTAATCCTCATCCCAAATCTGTGTGGGAGTCAATATCTCCATCTTACCAACAAGGGAACAAGGGCTCAGAAAGTCACTTGCCCAGGGCCTCAGGGCTGTGAGTGGGGGAGCCAGGGCAGGCAGACCTGACCCTTGTATTCCCCCACCTCCCCGGGCTCGGTGGCACCCCATTACCTGTTGTGCTGCCCAGGACCCAATCCTAAACACCTTCCACCCCACCCTGAAGTTAAAGCATCCGTCTTCCTCAGGGCTGTCCAGGCCTGCCTCACTGTGTATCTACTAAAACCTTGGCTCATTCTGGGGGTCTTGCAGATTCTGGGGGCTGGCTGGTCATTTCAAGATAGCCTGTGGTCCACATGGGCGGCACTGCTATTTGCGTGTGCGCCACAGGGTGTGAGTGAGTGTATCAAGTGCTTTGAAGTGGAATTGTTCATTTGAGTTTCTGAGTTTTTATTTTCTTAGCATAACACAAATTCTCTACCCTCTCCACTTTTTGTCTGGGTGATGAGGTCAAGGCACACACTGAGGTCTGTTTGTCATGGCCTTGGCCACCTATGCCTGTTTGTTCCTTTGTCAGTAAGAGCCATACTGTCACCCCCCTGCTCGGCAGCTCCTGAGTTTCAGTGGCTGCCCCGTCTGTTGAGCACTTCAAATGCCCTTGTCTACCCAAATGTCAAAAAGAGCATCATGTCCTTCCTCTCCCCCGACCCTAGTTCCATGAGAAAAACCTCCCTTTGCAGATAAGGACAGACCACCCCCCACCCCAAGAATGCCACACTTGCTCTAAGCTTTACTGGCTCATTTTCCCAACACCACCTATGGCTGCCCTCACTTCTATCTGCTATGTAACTCTCCAGTCAGAGTCTCTCTCCCACCAGATCAGTGGGTTCATGAACCTGGAGATGACATCTTTGTGGTTCTCTGCTGTATCCCCAGCTCCTGGCACATTGCTGATGCTCAACATGCTTCTAAAAAGCGAATGAGTGAATGATAGAAGGTTCTCCAGACCAAGGCTGCTGCTTAGGACTGCTTAGGGCCAAGTTTACTGTATTTTTTTTTTTGCACAATTACAAAGATTTTAGGGAGCCTTCCATAACCAGCCTGAGTAGTCTAGATTAGTCAGCCTTTGGGAATCAAAACCATGTCAATCACGGGCCTGCAGAGTGCTCAGTGTGGGAGCACACAGACTCCAGGGGTGGTGAGTTTTCTTTGTAATGTACGAATCATCTCAGGGAGAAAGCATCTGCTCAGAATGTAACAGTTAAACAGCCACAACAACGTCTTGCCTTTTATTTTTTTCACACAGAAGTGTGAACTTGGTCAATGATATAAAAAAAGAAATGAACATAAAATGATACTATTTATGGACTTCCAGTTCCTTTTTCTGATTTTTATCAATGTCATCTGAGTATTTTTATATAGTTGTGGTTTGCCTCTGTTTCTGCTTTACATTATTTTTATATTTAGAATTGCTAGATGTACACATTTCCATGTGTCAGCAGTTCACATACTTTTTCTTTCTTTGTTTTTTTTTTTTTTTTTTT